ACAGTACCATTCTCTACAGTACCATTTTCTACAGTTCCATTCTCACTTCACTTCTTGTTGAACACTTCCTGTTGAACGCGGAACGAGGGAGAACTTTGTTCTAAAGCTGTATCCGTACCCATTGGATGCAGTGATCACAATACACAGTGGGGGGGAAAAGTATTTAGTCAGCCACCAATTGTGCAAGTTCTCCCACTTAAAAAGATGAGAGAGGCCTGTAATTTTCATCATAGGTACACGTCAACTATGACAGACAAATTGAGAAAATGTCAGAAATTCCAGAAAATCACATTGTAGGATTTTTAATGAATTTATTTGCAAATTATGGTGGAAAATAAGTATTTGGTCACCTACAAACAAGCAAGATTTATATCTCTCACAGACCTGTAACTTCTTCTTTAAGAGGCTCCTCTGTCCTCCACTCGTTACCTGTATTAATGGCACCTGTTTGAACTTGTTATCAGTATAAAAGACACCTGTCCACAACCTCAAACAGTCACACTCCAAACTCCACTATGGCCAAGACCAAAGAGCTGTCAAAGGACACCAGAAACAAAATTGTAGACCTGCACCAGGCTGGGAAGACTGAATCTGCAATAGGTAAGCAGCTTGGTTTGAAGAAATCAACTGTGGGAGCAATTATTAGGAAATGGAAGACATACAAGACCACTGATAATCTCCCTCGATCTGGGGCTCCACGCAAGATCTCACCCCGTGGGGTCAAAATGATCACAAGAACGGTGAGCAAAAATCCCAGAACCACACGGGGGGACCTAGTGAATGACCTGCAGAGAGCTGGGACCAAAGTAACAAAGCCTACCATCAGTAACACACTACGCCGCCAGGGACTCAAATTCTGCAGTGCCAGACTTGTCCCCCTGCTTAAGCCAGTACATGTCCAGGCCCGTCTGAAGTTTGCTAGAGGATTGGGAGAATGTCATATGGTCAGATGAAACCAAAATAGAACTTTTTGGTAAAAACTCAACTCGTCGTGTTTGGAGGACAAAAAATGCTGAGTTGCATCCAAAGAACACCATACCTACTGTGAAGCATGGGGGTGGAAACATCATGCTTTGGGGCTGTTTTTCTGCAAAGGGACCAGGACGACTGATCCGTGTAAAGGAAAGAATTAATGGGCCATGTATCGTGAGATTTTGAGTGAAAACCTCCTTCCATCAGCAAGGGCATTGAAGATGAAACATGGCTGGGTCTTTCAGCATGACAATGATCCCAAACACACCGCCCGGGCAACGAAGGAGTGGCTTCGTAAGAAGCATTTCAAGGTCCTGGAGTGGCCTAGCCAGTCTCCAGATCTCAACCCCATAGAAAATCTTTGGAGGGAGTTGAAAGTCTGTGTTGCCCAGCGACAGCCCCAAAACATCACTGCTCTAGAGGAGATCTGCATGGAGGAATGTGCCAAAATACCAGCAACTGTGTGTGAAAACCTTGTGAAGACTTACAGAAAACGTTTGACCTGTGTCATTGCCAACAAAGGGTATATAACAAAGTATTGAGAAACTTTTGTTATTGACCAAATACTTATTTTCCACCATAATTTGCAAATAAATTCATTACAAATCCTACAATGTGATTTTCTGGAGAAAAAGAATCTCATTTTGTCTGTCATAGTTGACCTGTACTTATGATGAAAATTACTATTTTTTCCCCACTGTATATCCAGGAAAGATGAAATTCCAAAAGCTGGGCCGAAAATAGTGTATAAGAGGTCATACAAAAGATTTAGCTGTGACTCATATGTGGATGATGTTACAAATATTTGTTGGTCTGATGTGATTAATAAGGAGCATCCAGACACTGCACTTGATGAATTTATGAAATTGCTTCTTCCAATTATTGATAAACATGCTCCTGTTAAGAAACTGACTGTTAGAACTGTTAAGGCTCCATGGACTGATGAGGAATTGAAAAACTGTATGGTTGAAAGAGACGGGGCAAAAGGAGTGGATAATAAGTCTGGCTGCACATCTGACTGGCTGACATACTGCAAATTGAGAAATTATTTGACTAAATTCAACAACAAAATTCCATAAAGAATTCTGGAAAAAAAACTTTGGAGTACTTTAAATGAAATTATGGACAGAAAGACAAATTCAACTCCATCTTTTATCAAATCAGATGGCTTATTCATCACAAAACTATTTGATGTTGCCAATTATTTTAATGATTACTTAATTGGCAAAGTGGGCAAACTTAGGCTGGAAATGTCAACATCGAACAGTGAGCCATCCGTATTTAATGCATAAAAAAACTAATAATGAAAGAAAGGCATTGCAAGTTTGAATTTTGTAAAGTTAGTGTGGGAGAGGTGGAAAAATTATTGTTAACGATAAATAATGGCAAACCTACTGGTATTGACAACTTGATGGAAAGCTACTGAGGATGGTAGCTGACTCTATAGCCACTCCTCTCTGTTATATCTTTAATCTGAGCCTAGAGGAGAGTATTTGTCCTCAGGCCTGGAGGGAAGCCAAAGTAATTCCTCTACCCAAGAGTGGTAAAACGGCCTTTACTGGTTCTAACAGCAGACCTATAAGCTTGCTGCCAGCTCTTAGCAAACTGCTGGAAATAATTGTGTTTGACCAAATACAATGCTGTTTTCTCTGTAAACAAATTAACAACAGACTTTCAGCATGCTTATAGAGAATGACACGCAACATATACTGCACTGACACAAATGACTGATGATTGGTTGAAAGAAATTGATAATAAGAAGATTGTGGGAGCTGTACTGTTGGAATTCAGTGCAGCCTTTGATATTATTGACCATAACCTGTTGTTGAAAAAACATATGTGTTATAGCTTTTCAACCTCTGCCATATCGTGGATTCAGAGCTATCTATCTAATAGAACTCAAAGGGTTTTCTTTAACCTCTTAAGGATCGGACCCTTTCTTTCCATTTTCGCCTAAAATGACATACCCAAATCTAACTGCCTGTAGCTCAGGACCTGAAGCAAGGATATGCATATTCTTGATCCCATTTGAAAGGAAACACTTTGAAGTTTGTGGAAATGTGAAATTAATGTTGGTGAATATAACACATTAGATCTGGTAAAAGATCATACAAACCAAAAAACATGAGTTTACTATTTATTTTTTTGTTACATCATCTTTGAAATGCAAGAGAAAGGCCACAAAATAATATTGCAGTTAAGGCGCAATTTAGATTTTGGTCACTAGATGGCAGCAGTGTGTGTGCAAAGTTTCATATTGATCCAGTGAAGCATTGCAATACTGGACTATTTTGTATAAAGTTTGCACAAATGTGCCGAATTGGTCAATTGATACATTTTCAAGTACATAACTATAGAGAACATACAAAAATGTCTCTATAGGTGGGTGTGGAGCCAGAGACAGCAAGGGTTCAAACTGTAGAACCCAGTTCCTATATTTGAATATAAAATGGATTTTATCAAAGAAAAGTATGCTACATTTTATCTCTGGGACCCTCAGGAATGTAAGTACATTATTTACCTTCAGAGGTGAACGTGTCAAACCAGTTGCCGTGATACATTTTTTGTTGTTGTGCACTCTCCTCATAAAATATAATGGTATTGTTTCACTGTAATAGCTACTGTAAATTGGACAGTGCAGTTAGATTAACAATAATTGAAGCTTTCTGCCCATATAAGACATGTCTATGTCCTGGAAAGTTTGCTGTTACTTACAACAGTCATGCTATTCACATTAGCGTACGTTAGCTCAACCGTCCTGTATACAGGACACCGATCCCGTAGAGGTTAATGGAAGCTTCTCTAAGGTCAAACATGTAAAGTGTGGTGTACCGCAGGGCAGCTCTCTAAGCCCCCTACTCTTTTCTATTTTTACCAATGACCTGCCACTGGCATTAAATAAAGCATGTGTGTCTATGTATGCTGATGATTCAACCATATACGCATCAGCAACCACAGCTAATGATGTCCCTGAAACCCTTAACAAAGAGTTGCAGTCTGTTTTGGAATGGGTGGCCAGTAATAAACTGGTTCTGAACATCTCTAAAACTAAGAGCATTGTACTTGGTACAAATCATTCCCAATGTTCTAGACCTCAGCTGAATCTGGTAATGAACGGTGCGGCTGTTGAACAAGTTGAGGAGACTAAATTACTTGCCGTTACCTTAGATTGTAAACTGTCATGTTCAAAACATATAGATTCAATGGTTGTTAAGATGAAGGGAGAGGTCTGTCTGTAATAAAGAGATGCTCATCTTTTTTTACACTACATTCCAAAAAGCAAGTCCTGCAGGCTCTAGTTTTATCTTATCTTGATTATTGTCCAGTCATATGGTCAAGTGCTGCAAAGAAAGACCTAGTTAAGCTGCAGCTGGCCCAGAACAGAGCAGCACGTCTTGCTCTTCATTGTAATCAGAGGAGCTGATATAAATACTACACATGCCAGACTCTCTTGGCTAAGAGTTGAGGAGAGACTGACAGCATCACTTCTTCTTTTTATAAGAAACATTAATGTATTGAAAATCCCAAATTGTTTGCGTAGTCAACTTACACACAGCTCTGACACACACACTTACCCCACCAGACATGCCACCAGGGGTCTTTTCACAGTCCCCAAATCCACAACAAATTCCAGAAAGCGTACAGTATTATATTGAGCCATTATTGCATGGAACTCCGTTCCATCTCATTTTGTTCAAATTAACAGCAAACCTGGTTTCAAATAACTGATAAAGCAACACCTCACGGCACAACGCCTCTCCCCTATTTGACCTAGATAGTTTGTGTGTATGTATTGGTATTGATATGTAGGATATGTGTGCCTTTTTTATTTAATTACATTTTTATTGATGTAGTTCTGTCAATGAGCTGTTCTTGTCTATTAATGTTCTGTATTATGTCATGTTTCATGGTTTGTGTGGACCCCAGGAAGAGCAGCTGCTGCTTTCGCAAAGGCTAATGGGGATCCTAATAAAATACCAAATACCAAATACAGTACCATTCTCTACAGTACCATTCTCTACAATACCATTCACTACAGTCCCATGGACAGTACCATTCTTTACAGTACCATTCTTTACAGTACCATTCTCTACAGTACCATTCTCTACAATACCATTCACTACAGTCCCATGGACAGTACCATTCTTTACAGTACCATTCTTTACAGCACCATTCTCTACAGTACCGTGGACAGTTCCATTCTCTACAGTTCCATTCTCTACAGTACCATTCTCTACAGACCATTCTCTATAGTACCATTCTCTATAGTACCATGCTCTATAGCACATTTCTCTATAGCACCATTCTCTATAGCACCATTCTCTATAGCACCATTCTCTACAGTACCATTCTCTATAGCACCATTCTCTATAGCACCATTCTCTACAGTTCCATTCTCTATAGTACCACGCTCTATAGCACCATTCTCTACAGTACCATGGACAGTACAATTCTCTACAGTACCATTCTCTACAGTTCCAATCTCTACAGTACCATTCTCTACAGTTCCATTCTCTACAGTACCATTCTCTACAGTTCCATTCTCTACAGTTCCATTCTCTACAGTACCATTCTCTACTGTACCATTCTCTACAGTACCATTCTCTACAGTTCCATTCGCTACAGTACCATTCTCTACAGTACCATTCTCTACAGTACCATTCTCTACTGTACCATTCTCTACAGTTCCATTCTCTACAGTACCATTATCTACAGTACCATTATCTACAGTACCATTCTCTACAGTACCATTCTCTACAGTACCATTCTCTACTGTACCATTCTCTACAGTACCATTCTCTACAGTACCATTCTCTACTGTACCATTCTCTACAGTACCATTCTCTACAGTACCATTCTCTACAGTAACATGGACAGTACCATGTGCTACAGCACCATTCTCTATAGTATTCTCTGGACAACTCACTCTCACTACAGCACCATGGACAGCTCCTCTCACTACAGCAACATGGACAGCTCCTCTCACTACAGCACCATGGACAGCTCCTCTCACTACAGCACCATGGACAGCTCATCTCACTACAGAACCAGTATAAGTGGTATGGCGTGCCGATATGCATTATATCATTATGGCAGTCTTTTCACAGTGAGTGTAGTACCTCGCAGTCATGTTGTGCTCTGCTGAAAGCTTCAGCACCTTGGACAGCCATACTTCAGCACCATGCTGGGAAATCACAGTGGCTCACTGCTCTGTCTCAGACTCAGACTCAGAGGGAAAACGACTTACTGCTAACCCTTTGTTATACAGTGCATAAAGAACACTGCCGACCATTTCACAATGCATCTACCGTACAATGCTGTTCATTACTCAACCCTGGTATAGGCCTACCATTGAACTGAGTTGGTACTTGGTATACAGTAGTTGGTAGTTGCTATACAGTTATTCGATTCTACATTGCATACACTCTTAGAAAAAAAGTTGCTATCTAGAACCTAAAAGGGTTATTTGACTGTTCCCATAGGAGAACCCTTTGATGAACCTTTTTGGTTCCAGGTAGAACCCTATTGGGTTCTGTGTAGAACCCATTTCCCCAGAGGGTTCTACGTGGAACCCAAAATAGTTCTACCTGGAACCAAAAAGGGTCCTACCTGGAACCAAAAAGGGTTATCCTATGGGGACAGCCGAAGAACCCTTTTGGAACCGTTTTTTTCTAAGAGTGTGTAAAGTGTTCCTACTGCCTTCCAGTTCACAACGCATAACATACTAGACGGAGGCACAGCACTCAACCATCATTACAACATGAACAATACATGTCATTCTCACGTGTTATATACCAACATAGTCAACATAGTCAACAGAGTCCAGTGTGCTGCAGTCATCTATTTCACAATACTTTTAACATGCAATATGCAATCCCATACCTTAACTCACATAGTGTTGAACTTGCCAACCTTTTCACAATAAGTCTACCATACAATAAAATAATGTATGGAATTCAACTATATCATTACAACTCCATCATTGGCAATACATGTAATTGTAACTTGTTAGATGTAGCAAAGAAAGCAGAGAAGAGAGCTCTACTTCAGTCAATGAAAGTCATTTATTTCACATGAAGTCTACTGTCCAATATTGCACTGCCCCTCAACTCAACCAGATAACGGTACTTCCCCTACAGTCTAGCCTATAGAACGGAACTCAGCTGCAGTGCAGTCTAACTGTTTTTTAGGCGTTGGCTCCTATATCAATATCATGGTCTGCTCAGGGACTCTTTAAGTATATATTCCAGTGCTGCTACCTCTGATAATGACATCGTAATTGCTTTTTTTCTCTCCCATTGTATTAAATATTAACGGCAGGCCGAGCACTTAACATTCTTTCGTCAACGTCTCCGTCCTTACGCCGTCAGACCCACCACGCGCAAAACCGTCAACTATCGCCATCAAACCCGGTTATGACACAGTCCGTCAGAAACGATGTCGGCATTTGTCATTTTAGAGCCGTTAAATTATACATGCTCTCATATTGAAAGGATAATAACTGGGGTGATATGGCTTGTACTTAATCATAGCTCCTGGTATATAATGTGTCCGTAGGCCTAATAGAAACAGATCTAGGATCAGATCGTATATTGACCATTATGAGAGGAATATGTAAAACTGGTCTGAGAGCAGCGTATATGAGGCGACTTCAGCCTCAGTATAGACACCGATCTAGGAATAGTTCCCTCCCACCAGGTTCTATCTTAACCAGTACGAGGGGAATACGTCAAACTGTTCTGAGAGCAGCGTTTATGGGGAGACGGAGAAATCTCCTATTTCATTCAGAGTACCGCTAGCAATCACTAGGGGGCGACCTTGGTCTCTAGAATGTTGGGAAGATTCCTTCAGAAGGAATCTCTCTCTCTCTCTTTCGCTCTCTCTCTCCTCTTTATCATCCCACTACCAGAGTGCCAGTCTGATTTTGTCACAGAGAATCAGAGAAGACAAGTATGGTAATTCATCCAGCAGTATCTCTAGCGTTTTGTTTGTGAGACTTCTTATGTTACGAAATCATCTAAACACCATGTTGCTTAATCCAGTCTACAATGGTCATGTCTGTTTGTATTACAGTCCCGTAATTGCTGCGTGTCTATCTATTAAATGCGGGATTGGAAGCTGATGTTAATTACCCTCAACGACGTTTTGTCTGTTTGTATACTCCAATAAGTGGGTCAGGAAGGACGCTTAGATTGCAGCCTCCCCTATTTCGATGTATCAGTTTCTATTTCTTTTATTTTCAAATCACTGCACGGACAGAGGTTCCGTCCCAAATGCCACCCTACCCCCTATGTTATACACTACTTTTGACCAGGACTCATAGTAGTGCAGTATATAGGGACTATGGTGCCATTTGGGACGCTCAAACATAGCCTGTTAAGCCATGGCTTATGAATAAAATAAGTAGGGTGATGAAATGAGTTCCGGAGGTCGGAGAGAGTGGGCTAATGATGAAACAGTGAATATAGCGGTACTAACATGCTAAAGGCTATTAGCATGGCTTTGGCTATGCTACATTAAAAGGAATAAGATTTTTTTTTTTTTTGTCATTTAGCAGACGCTCTTATCCAGCGCGACTTACAGGAGAAATTAGGGTTAAGTGCCTTGCTCAAGGGCACATCGACAGATTTTTCACCTAGTCGGCTCGGGGATTAGAACCAGCGACATTTCGGTTACTGGCACAACGCTCTTAACCACTAAGCTACCTGCCGCCCATGAATGAATGGAGCATCATGGTGTGCCTCCCGAATATCACCCTGTTCTCTATGTAGTGCACTACCTTTGACCAGGGGCCTATATGGCTCTGGTTAAAAGTAGCGCATTATGTATAGGGAATGTGGTGCCATTTTGGGATACGACCTATATGCATGTATGTCCTTGATATGTCCTTTAAAAACGAACGATCATTGTGCCTAAAGAAGGAAGATTGCAATTAAAACATGTTGTTCATAACTGATCGTTTCCTCCCGTTTTACAGCTTTATGCTTTACAGCTTTACGTTCGTTACACGGCTACTTCATTATGTCTTTACTGCACCAACAGAACAGAGTATTGAGCCATACTATCATCATTATTTACAACGATAATTGTGCGTATGAAGGAATTTGGGAATCAATAAAAACATGTTCATAACTGATTCCTTCCTCCCGTTTTAGAGTTTCGTTTTTATTATTTGTCTAGTGTATTTGAACAAAACAGAATCTTGAAACATATAATAAATCAATCATGGTTATGGATAACTCGACACGGGACGGGGTTAATATAAGGTTTAGGCAATCTTCAAACCGGTTTGTTTTGACCGCCAGAGGGCACGTGCGTCATGATGGCGAGTCAGACTTGGCAACATCCCCAAGCTTTGGTTGTAGGTTACTTCATCAAAAACCTACGGTCATCTATCATAAGACAGAAGACAGCATACTGACTGCATCCTAGCTACTGACTGCATCAATACTCAATAGCCTATGGTCACCTGTCATAGATAGACCGATAGACGTCAAAGAGAACGGGAAAGCATCTGTTGTTGACCATTCAACATAACATGACGAACTGGGCATGAATGAGTCAATGTGAGTCACGGACTATTATAGGCTGCATCATCATCATCATCATCATCATCGATAGCCTTTAGGGATAGTTTGTGCGTGTGTGCGTGCTTGCTTGTGCTCGAGAGATTGCTTGCCAATATGAAAGGATAATCAGTATAGATTTGTGTCACTGGAATAGAGCCCTGTGTTACCTGTGGTCACGGTCTGTTTTGGTCTATACCACACACACGCGCGCGCACACACGCACACAACTCTACTGAGGCCTGCATTTTAAACAGCAGCTATTGAAATAATCCCTTTAAAACACTCATTCTCATCTTTCCCTACAGGGTTGGTGTTGCTTGTCTGGGCATAGTCTCTAGTCATTACCTTCGTGTTCATTCATCAAACAGAACGGATGAAAAAAAAGAGTACAACACATTATGATGATGAATAGGCAATTTCTACAATATTCACTTTCAAATTCGCTGGCTGCGCTTTTAACTTAAACCTGTCATGTAGAGGTAGCCTGTGCTTCTTAAATGATGTTTTGTGCCACAACGTTACCGGTCGACGGATTTGTAAATTCACATTCCACCCCGTCGCGCACTAGTTGACTATTTAATTCAAGGGTTGTGTAAAATATTGTATTTCTCTCCGGTGTGTGTCGGTTGGCTGGGGCTTCATGCTCGTGTTGCACCGAGCTGGGGCTGGGGCTCGAGCGTTTCCGCCGCTTGACTGCTCGTGTCGTTAGTGAAGAGAGGGGTCCGGGCAGGTCCGTAGGACCGCGCGCGCTGGCTGGCATTCCCGTGCCCCAATCAGGAGTAACCTCGTCGGGTGTCCGCGGACACTATTGGCTGGTGAGAAAAGATGCTGTGCGCAAAACCAACCCCGCTCCCCTCACTCGCTTTACAGGACTGGAGCAAAGAGGATCATCCGCTTTCCTTGCTGCTCAGCCGCACTGATTATAGAGCGAGAGAGAGAAAGAGAGCAGAAGAGAGCGAGAGAGAGAGAGAAAGTCACATTTATCGTTTATTTACATGTTGGCTAGCCGTGTTCAAGTTTAGGATAGGGTTTTTATGCGAATGGTGCTTTTTGGAGTTATGTATTCGTGAAGGATTTTTAAATATTTTGTTATTGCACTTAGTTGGGACTTGATACCTGTGAGGATTCCATCTGTGGGTGAGGATTGTATTATGGTCTGCACGGCTTGGCTCCCTCTGCCTGCTGCGATGTTGGAGCTTCAGCCAAAACTCACAAACCTGGACTGAATTTTTTAATTTTTTAATTTTTTGAAAGAAGCTAGGATCAAATGGCAGTGATTCTCACGACTCAAACACAGGAATGCTTTCCGTTTGACACGACGACGCAAAGGGGGAAAGAAGGAACAGCTCATTTGGGTTTGACTAGCTGCCGTAGTTTTATTTTCATCATTGCAGCTTTTGATTCTGCCTTATTCCTGCGGACCGAAGCTGAGATGGGAAATGCTTAGTTCGAGTAAGACAACGGAATAATACCCCCGACACATATCCAAGTGCACTTGAAAGAGGGAGAGTGAGAGCAGTGGAGATGATTTTGCTATTACCGCTCCTTCTCTCCGTCCTGCTGGATGGAGCCGTGTGCCAGCTGCGCTTCTCTGTACCGGAGGAGCAGGAGCACGGGACCGTCATTGGGAATATCGCGGAAGATTTGGGGTTGGACATTACCAAACTTTCCGCCCGCCGCTTCCAGACGGTGCCCAGCTCGAGGAACCCTTACTTGGATGTGAACCTGGAGAACGGGAATCTTTATGTTAAGGAGAAAATAGACCGGGAGGAGATATGCAGGCAGACAGTACCGTGCAACCTGCACCTTGAGGTGTTTCTGGAGAACCCGCTCGAGCTTTTCCGCGTGGAGATCGAGGTGATGGATATCAACGACAATCCCCCCACTTTCCCTGAGACAGACATCACTGTGGAGATAACAGAAAGTGCCACCCCAGGTACCCGGTTCCCGGTGGAGAATGCTTTCGACCCAGATGTCGGGACTAACGCGCTCAGCACCTACGCCATAACGAACAATAACAACTTTTACCTGGATGTTCAGACACAGAGCGACGGGAACAAGTTTGCGGAGCTAGTGCTGGAAAAACCATTAGACCGGGAGCAGCAGGCGGTGCATCGGTACGTGCTCACGGCAGTGGACGGAGGGGTGCCACAACGGACTGGCACCGCGCTCCTGGTCGTTAAAGTCCTGGATTCCAACGATAACGCACCCATCTTCGACCAGTCGGTGTACACGGTGAGCCTACGGGAGAATTCACCGGTGGGCACTCTGGTTATTCAGCTGAACGCCACTGATGTAGATGAAGGGCAGAATGGAGAGATAGTATATTCATTTAGTAACCACAACCCACCGCGGATAAAGGATCTGTTTAAAATCGATGCCAGGACGGGGAGAATAGAGGTGGCTGGGGAAGTGGACTATGAGGAGAGCAGTACACACCAGATATACGTCCAGGCTAAAGACCTGGGAGCAAACGCAGTGCCCGCGCACTGCAAAGTCCTGGTCAAACTGGTCGACGTTAACGACAACACACCGGAGATCAGTTTCAGCACCGTGACGGAGTCTGTGAGCGAGCAGGACGCCCTGGGCACTGTCATAGCCCTCTTCAGCGTCACCGACCGGGACTCGGGCGACAACGGGCTGTTGAGCTGCGAGATTTTGGGTGACGTTCCTTTCAAACTCAAATCATCATTTAAAAACTACTACACCATAGTAACGGATGGACTATTAGACAGAGAAAACGCAGACTCATACACAATCACTGTTGTAGCCAAAGACCAGGGGCTCCCCTCCCTAGCCACAAGCAAATCCATAAAGGTACACGTTTCCGACGAGAACGATAACGCACCCCGCTTCACGCAGCCAGTTTACGATGTGTATGTGACGGAAAATAACGTACCAGGTGCTTTTATTCACGCGGTGAGCGCCGTGGACCCTGACGTTGGTCCGAACGCGCTCATTACCTACTCCATATTGGAGTGTGACATCCAGGGCATGTCGGTGGACACCTATGTGTCCATCAACCAGGACACTGGCTACCTTTATGCACTGCGCTCATTCGACTATGAACAGTTGAAAGAGTTTAGCTTTATGGCACAGGCCAAAGACTCCGGGAGCCCGGAGCTCTCCTCCAACAGCACTGTTAACGTCATCATCATTGACCAGAATGACAACGCGCCGTCGGTGATAGCCCCTGTCGGTAAGAACGGCACCGCCAAAGAACACCTGCCGCGCTCCGCCGAGCCGGGCTACCTGGTCACGCGTATTGTCGCCATGGACGCAGATGATGGCGAGAACGCACGGCTCTCCTACAGCATTCTGCGCGGCAACGAGATGGGCATGTTCCGCATGGACTGGCGGACGGGGGAGCTGCGCACAGCACGCCGCGTCTCCACCAAGCGCGACCCCCAGGGCTCCTACGACCTGCTGATTGAGGTGAGGGACCACGGCCAGCCGCCACTCTCCTCGTCGGCTAGTGTGAGTGTGATCCTGGTGGATAGTGCGATAGAGGGACGGAGTGGAGACCGAGGGGGTTCTTCCTCCAAGTCCAAAGAGACCTCTCTGGATCTCACCCTCATCCTCATCATCGCCCTGGGCGCCGTCTCTTTCATCTTCCTCCTGGCTATGATCGTGCTGGCTGTGCGCTGCCAGAAAGACAAGAAGCTGGACCTGTACACGTGCCTCATGGCGGGGGAGTGTTGCCTGTGCTGCAGCCCGTGCGGCTCGCGCCAGGCGCACGGCAGGAAACAGAAGAAGCTCAGCAAGTCGGACATCATGCTGGTCCAGAGTACTAACGTCACCTCCGGTGTGGGCGCAGTGGGCCAGGTGCCTGTGGAGGAGTCTGGTGTCGGCGGGGTCGGGATGGGCGGCGTGTTCAGTTCCCATCATCATCAGAACCAGAACTCCTACTGCTACCAGGTGTGTCTGACACCGGAGAGCGCCAAGACGGACCTGATGTTCCTCAAACCGTGCAGCCCCTCGCGCAGCACTGACACGGACCACACCAACCCCTGTGGGGCCGGGTACAGCGAACAGCAACCGGACATCTTATCCAACGGGAGCATCCTCTCCAATGAGGTAATGCTTGGTTTCTATTAGCTTTGGTGTGTGTGTGTGTGCGTGTGTGTAATTTAAATTCAGGTTGTGTATTAGACTATGGGGCGAAATAATGAGTGTTTGGGTATCTCTGGGCGTTTCCCCTTTTCTTTTCAATACCTGGGTCAAGTGCACATTTTTAGGGGAAACAAAGTGCATAGCTATGTTACGTTATCACATAATGAATATCATTTAACAAAAAAAAAGTGTATTTAGCCCCAGAATATAGATTTAATATAATTTTTAGGGGAAACAGTGCATAGCTCTGTTTGGTTATAACATAATGAATATCATATTTTTTTAATGGTGTATTTAGCCACATAATATTGATTTAATTGAATGTATTAAAGAACATTACAACAAGGTGTGTATTGGATTCCAGAGGACTTTAATTACACTGTGGTCCTCCATGCTATTTATGAAAGGACAATCAATACACCTTTCAACAGGCCCCTTAGCTGTCAATCTATAATGCACATTTAATGAGGCGGATTATAAAACAATAAATTATATCATAATGATGTAGTATTATTTGTCTACACTCTGCAGTGTTGAGGTCACTTGTTGAGGTTCAACCCCAGTATATTTTTAACAAACTAATCAGATGATAGGTTAGATGGGAAGTCTGTTTGCAGATGCATAGAGCATAGCCTACCAATTGAATCTGAAGGCACAGGTGCCTCCTCAATGTTGTCATTTTCTAGCTGGATGAAAACATACAAGAAATATCTCCTTCTACTCAGAATTTATTAGAATGATATTGAGTTTGGGCCAGCAGTGCCTCTCAAAACAAATGAGGCATACATGATGTCCCTGCCTGTGCATCTCCAAGGGGCTGGGGTGAGCTGCAGAGAGTCAGTGTGGTTATTATGTCGAATGTGGCTGGAGAGAGTACCAGCCAGCCTGTCAGTCAGTCAGTCAGTCAGTCAGTCAGTCAGTGCACCAGTCAGTTCACCAGTCCAGTCATCGTCAGTGAACCATCAGTCAGTCAGTCAGTCAGTGAACCAGTCAGTCAGTCAGTGAACCATTCAGCCAGTCAGTCAGTCAGTCAGTCAGTCAGTGAACCAGTCAGTCAGTCAGTCAGTGAACCAGTCAGTCAGTCAGTCAGTGAACAGCACTCAGCCAGTCGTCATCATCAGTGAACCAGTCAGTCAGTCCAGTGAACCAGTCATCGTCAGTCAGTCAGTGACACCAGTCAGTCAGTCAGTGACACATCAGTCAGTCGTCATCGTCAGTGAACCAGCATCGTCAGTCAGTGCACCAGTCGTCAGTCTCAGTCGAACCAGTCAGTCAGCCAGTCAGTCAGTCAGTCATGAACCAGCAGTCACAGATCAGTCATCAGCAGTCGTAGACCATGTCTAGTAGTCAGTCATGAACAAGCAGTCAGTCATGAACATTCAGTCCATAACTCAGCATCATCAGTGCATCATTTCAGTTGACTGTATGGTTGTCAACTGAGACTGTAGAGAGAGGACCAGCCAGTCAGGCAGCCAGCCAGTCTACCAATCAGCCAGAACCAGCCAGTCAGTCAGCCAGCCAGCCAGCCAGGCAACCAACCAACCACCAGCCAGTCAACCAGCCAGTCAGTCAGTCAGCCAGCAAGTCAGCCAAGCAGTCAACCAACCAGCCAGTCAGCCAGTAATTCTGCCAGTCAGTCAGTGTTGAGTGAGAGAGCCAGTGCCTTTAAGTATGTTAAGTATTCAGCGCACGTCACCACAGACCAGCAGCGGAACAAAGGTTGTTCAGTTGAGGCGCTGCTTGGCTCAATCATTTACGCATTCAAACGCCTCTCTAACCCACTCCCCTTCTCAGTGGATATACACACAGTCAATAATGTGTAATGTATGTCAGTCTCTCTCTCTCTCTCTCTCTCTCTCTTCTCTCTCTCTCTCTCTCTCTCTCTCTCTCTCTCTCTCTCTCTCTCTCTCTCTCTCTCTCTCTCTCTCTCTTCTCTCTCTCTCTCTCATGCGCTCTCTCTCTCACACCTGTCTCTGCCTCACTCTCTTTCCGAGAGACAGGAAAGGCCTCTTTCAGTGTCTTATAAACATTTATTCCCCCAATTCCATAGGCCTGAGGATGGTGGAATGTCAATTGAATGTCAATAGGCCTAGGGTGTCATGCCACTCTCTCTCTCTCTCCTCTCTCTCCTCTCTCTCTCTCTCTCTCTCTCTCTCTCTCTCTCTCTCTCTTCTCTCTCTCTCCTCTCTCTCTTCTCTCTCTCTCTCTTTTTAAATTTCCTCTGCATTCTAACTTCAAGCTTCCCAGCCCCCCCCCTTCCCCTTTTT